GTTCTCAGGCCTGTGCGAGACCTGCTTTGAGGCAGTAACTCCTGTTTCTTCACTCGAGGTGACCCCTACACTGTCAACGCTCTCTGGTTTCATTTAAAAGAGTCCATCATCAGATATTGTCCAAGATTAACCTTCAGGGTGGATATAGCTCGCTAGCAGCCTCGCACCGAGGACCTATCCACGTCATCATTTACCCAGAATGCTTTGTGTGTAAATAAAATGGCTCCGTCTGTGTTAAAATATATTTTTTATGTCCAAGTTTAATAATGTGAGAGAAATCCACATTTTTCTGTTCATTCAGTCAGTGTTTAACACAGCTGGCACAATGAATTGTTAAAATGCTGTACCTTTTATTTAGTGTGTAAAAAAATAGCCCTTCATTAGGAAAATTGCCGCTTATCAATTAATCGTTAGTCGATCGATAAGATCAATCAACTTTAGATTAATCCATTAATTGATAACTTGCATCCCTAAATTCTACATTTAGTTTTTAGCTGTTAAAACTGCTGATAGTCTTTAATTATTTTTAGTTAACAGGTAGCATTTTGCTAGTTTAGCTTTTAGCTCATATTTTGCTTTTATTTAGCTTTAAAGGTTAATTTCAGCTTTTTTAAATCAAATTTCAGCAAAGTCAGTTCAGCTCTCAGCAGTCACATACAGTAATGTTCAAATAAATTGTAATTTTGTGAGTTAGTTTTTATTAGGGATGTTTCGATCCAGATTTTTTGGCTCCTGATACAATCCGATTTTTTTAATGATTAGTCTTTGTGACACCGATCCGATAGCTTTATTTCTTTATTTCTTTCAAAGTGACAAGGTTGGTAGTATTAAAGCGAGCCCTGCTGTTCCCACCACGAGAAACATCCAGTTCGCAGATTTTACAAGATGCAGTTTCAGCATCATTGTTTTCCATTGAAAAGTGTTCCCACACTGTGGACATGGTTACATGTGTGCGTCTTGACCTCTTAACGGCAGCTGTAAAGCACGATGATGCTGAAAACTGGATCGGCCCGATCACGTGACTAAATCTGATTCTACACCATTTTCACAAAATATCCATATCTGCCACAGATACTGAGTATCTGATCGGGACATCCCTAGTTTTTATTTCCTGAGTATATTTTTATTTAGTTTAATGTTTTTATTGTTAAAGTGGTATTTTTCTTCACATCTCCTCAGGGGACTCAGGTGTCTGGGGTCTGAAGAAGAACTTTGCTCTGCTTGAACTCTTGGAGCGACTTCAGAATGGAGCCACCAACCAGTCAGGAATGGCTGAAGATGCCCTGAAAGGCATGGGAGAAGTAAGACAACTTGCTTCTGAGTCTCTGGAAATCCAATCATTTTTACACCTGCTGCTGCCTTTGACCACATATTTCCTATATCTGCAGTGAATAATCCACACATTTCCTTTATTTGCAGTGTATAATCCACACATTTCCTTTTTCTGCAGTGTATAATCCGATGTGATGAGGACGAGAACCACACAGCCTCTATGTACTGCACTGTGTGTGCCACCCACCTGTGTGCCGAGTGCTCTCAGCTCACCCACTCCACTCGCACGCTGGCCAAGCACCGCCGGGTGCCTCTGGCCGATAAACCTCATGAAAAGATGCTGTGCCCTCAGCATCAGGTCCACGCCATTGAGTTTGTGTGTCTGGAGGAAGCCTGTCAGTCCGGGCCTCTCATGTGCTGTGTTTGTAAGGAGTATGGCAAACACCAGGGACATAAGGTAGACCAACAAATGCATGTGACCAAAAAATACATGTGACCAACAAATATATGTGACAAAGACATATACGTGACCAACACATTTATGTGACCAACAAATACAATATAAGTGACCAACAAACATATGTGACCAAGACATATATGTGACAAACAAATATAAGTGACCAACAAATATATGTGACCAACACAGATATGTGACCAACACATATATGTGACCAACAAATATATTTGACCAACAGTTCTAAGTGACCAACAAATATATGTGACCAACAAATAAATGTGACCAACAAATAAATGTGACCAACAAATGCATGTGACCAACAAATGCATGTGACCAACAAATACATGTGACCAACAAATAGATGTGACCAAGACATATACGTGACCAACACATTTATGTGACCAACAAAAACAATATAAGTGACCAACAAATATATGTCACCAACAAATATATGTGACCAAGACATATATGTGACAAACAAATATAAGTGACCAACAAATATATGTGACCAACACATATATGTGACCAAATATGTGTGACCAACACATATATGTGACCAACAAATATATGTGACCAACACATACAGTATGTGTGACCAACACATATATGTGACCAACGAATATATGTGACCAACAAATAAATGTGACCAACAAATAAATGTGACCAACACATATATGTGACCAACAACTGTATGTGACCAACACATATATGTGACCAACAAATATATGTGACCAACAAATATATTTGACCAACAGTTCTAAGTGACCAACAAATAAATGTGACCAACAAATAAATGTGACCAACACATA